AGAAGTTACTTTTCCCATTCTGTTGGATTTCCTTGGATGGCTGAAGCAATACATCTTCCATTTTGACTGACTGCGCTGCTGTTGACAACACCCCAAATTTTGTTGAACTCTTCTTGAGCCTGTTTTTGATGAGGAAATTGTAAAGAATCTTAAAATAATGTAATGTACTTTTAAATCTGACTATATCATCGATATTTATTAACAATATAAGCATAAATCAAACAAAAGTGTGGCAAGGCCACACTTGAAATACTGCATCCAGTTTTGGTCACCACGATGTAAAAAAGATGTTGAGACTCTAGAAAGAGTACAGAGAAGAGCATCAAAGATGATTAGGGGACTGGAGGCTAAAACATATAAGGAACGGTTGCTGGAATTGGGTATGTCTAGTTTAACGAAGAGAAGGACGAGGGGGGACATGATAGCAGTGGTCCAATATCTCAGGGGCTGCCACAAAGAAGAGGGAGTCAAGCTATTCTCCAAAGTGCCTGAAGGCAGGACAAGAAGCAATGGGTGGAAACTGACCAAAGAGAGAAGTAACCTAGAACTAAGGAGAAACTTCCTGACAGTTAGAACAATTAACCAGTGGAACAACCTGCCTCCAGAATGCTGCAACACTGGAAGTTTTTAAGAAGAAACTGGACAGCCATTTGTCCGAAATGGTATAGGGTTTCCTGCCTGAGCAGGGGGTTGGACTAGATGACCTCCAAGGTCCCTTCCAACTTTATTATTATTATTATTATTATTATTATTATTATTATTATTATTATTATTATTATTATTATTATTATTATTATTAAAATTCATCTTTGTTCATTTGCCAAGTACAGTATTCTTCTTGTATTTATCAATTTGCATCATATTTTCTTTTTGTTAATATTGTTAGCTAGATATATTCAAAGTCATTTGTTTCCCATATTGGAGCAGATGGTAATTATCACACAGCAAACGCTGTATGTTATATATCTGGTATTGAATACTGAAGGCTTCCATAGTTAGGACAAGACTACAACAAAGATAAAATATTTTGTGGATAAGTAGTCCTCAACCCAGGAGCTTTCAGTCTGTCTGTCTATCTATCTATCTATCTATCTATCTATCTATCTATCTATCTATCTATCTATCTATCTATCTATCTATCTATCTATCTATCTATCTATCTATCTATCTATCTAAGTTATTGGCTGTCGAGTCCTCGACACATGAGCATTCAGTTTATGTATGTATGTATGTATGTATGTATGTATGTATGTATGTATGTATGTATGTATGTATTTAGTTAGTTAGTTAGTTAGTTAGTTAGTTATAAAAGTTATTGGCTGTCCATCTTACCATAGGTTAACTCTGGATGGCTTACAGTTACATATAAGCCAAAATATAAAAAGTTAAAAGTAAACATTAAAAGCAAAAATACATGGGGAGGGCAGGGTGCTTATAATATATCCACATATTATACCGCATTACTCATAATTAAATTGAAAAAGTTCTTGTCCTTTGTGATTACACAATTCTTGTCTTGATTCTTTCTATATTGAACACCCTTTTTCAACAGTAACAGATCTGCCTGAAATTTAGGTATCTTAAAACCCATAAAAGCTTCGTCAGGTTCAGTTATTAACAAAGAGGCAAGCAAATCCCCTCTCAGAGAACTGTGATTCTTAATTCTGCACCACTATTTTATCTGGAAACTCAGTGTGATTCTAGACACGCTTAGGTAGAGTCTCTGGTTATACCAGTTTTGCGTTACTACTGGAAAGTAAACCACATGATTCTTTGGGTTATTAAAATCGTTTCTACTTCTAGGAAATATGAAAAAAATGAAACATTTTTCAACTCCCACTTCCAAGCCAAGTAACTGAATAAAAATATTTTGGGGAAAAGGAATCTTTTCAGGATTTCTGTAAGTTTAATGTTTAATAACCACTTTTTCAGTAATTGTTCAAAGTTAAAACAGCTCTGAACAAGTGGTATTTACAACTAACCCTCCAAATTCTGGCCATCAGAACACCCCCAGCACATTTGCAATCTGGGTGCATGGCAACCAACCCACAGTTAAAACTATTACGGTGTCCTGCAGTCACATGATCACCATTTGCAACCTTCCTTGTCAGCTTCTCACAAGCAAAGTCCATTGGGAAGTGGGCTGGAGCTGCAAGATACTTCAATAAATTGTTCACATCTCCCCTCTCCAACAGCAGTCTTTCCTGGCCCTATTTGTGCTCGTGCTATACTTCACAAGGCCCTCATGTATCATTCCCCAGTAACAGCAGCCACTCTTGCCCTGATGTGGTTGTGCTGCACTTTGTTCCATGCCTTACCTGCCTATCTGCAAGATACCTGGGACTTGCTTAACAACCCACAATCCTTCTTTAATGATGGCAACCAGAGTACTGTGATTGCCATTCTTAAGTGACCGAATCATGTGATTAAACAATATGATTCCATTTAACAGTGGAAATTCCCGTAAAAATTACCATCATTAACCAAGTACATTAAAAATGTAGATGAATGAGAAATCAGCATGCTGCTAAGCCAAGTGGCTCATAGTGCCATTTTTAGTTACAATAACGCCAGTGACCTTCATATTACCTGCCTTCCATGTAATTTTATAAATTAGCAATTAAAAGATAGATGTAGACCAGAGTTTTGCTTGAGGTCTGCTTGCTCACCCCAAGAAAAGACCAGCTGTTCTCTAAGCCCAGCATAAAGAGGCTTTCAAACCTCTTCTTTTTCCTACCATGCCCTCTTAGTTGGCCTCATCTACACCATTCCAGTGTTTTATCGCTCTAAAGGGCTGGCTGCATCAGATTTGCCCAGTAAAACAGAGCAGTCCAGCTGACAGGCAATGGTGCAAAGTGCAGCAGTGCAAACCATTTTTGGGGGCCCTGAAATGGCCAATGTTGTACTTCTGCTCTACATGTTGCACTGGCTGCCGGTTTGCTTCTGGATATAATTCAAGAGATTAGTTATAATCTTTAAAGCGCTCCGTGGCTTATGTCCAGGTTACTTGATGAACTGTCTCATCCCGCTAGGACAGGCCTTTCTACTCATGAGGACAGGGGAACCCTGCTGCAGATCCCATTGGTCAAGGAACTTCAGCTGGCAGGAGCCAGGAGAAGAGTCTTCTTTGCCATGGTGCCATCCCTTTGGAGCATCCTGCTCCTTGGCGAGAGGGCTGTTCCTACCCTCCTTCTGTAAGAGTTTGAAGATCTGGCTCTGCTGGTAGGCCTGGTGACCCAATGAAGTACCACAACTGAGGTGGCTATTAGAGTAATAGCAGACCCTGCCTTCCCCCGTGCACATCCTGTTGCCTCCCTGCCCATCCTTTAATTCAGGGGTCCTCCACCTTGTCAACTTTAAGACTTGTGGACTTCAACTTCCAGAATTCCTCAGCCAGCTTTAATTCATACTGCTGAATTATTTATTTTCATTGTTTCATTGTGATACTATTGTTAGATTTGCATTTTTAATAATTTTATATTCTAGTGTTATAAGCCGCTTAGAGTAGCCTCCATGGCAAGAAGGGTGGCAAATAAATTTAATAATAAATACATTAGATGATAGATAGATAAATAGATAAATAGATAAATGGATGGATAGATAGATAGATAGATAGATAGATAGATAGATAGATAGATAGATAGATAGATAGATAGATAGATAGATAGATAAAAATTGGAGCCAGGATGTTAACAAAGTTGTTCTGGCACTGAAGAATATATCTAGCTTTTTTGTTTTTATTGAGTCTCAAAGCAATTCCAGTAGGTTTGTTTATTTTAATTACATTTTCTATTTTATTTTGTTTGCTGCTCAGATTTTCTTGGTTGGATGGGTAGCCATATAAATTGGATAAATACACAAATCTCCTCTACCTCTCACAGATCAGAGAAGCTGGAAGGTGGTATTTGCTACCTGAAGAAAGGAATAGGATAGAAATCCCAAATAAATGTGTTGCGCGTGACTCAGCTCCCTGTATGACTATTCTGCACTACCCTGGTTTTGGTTTAAGTGCCTTTTTAATGTCATTTATTTTCAATGGGTTATATTTTTATCCAGTTCTTCCCAAGTACCTGGATAGGCAGATATTGTCAAGGTTTTATTAAGCATATGAAATACACATCAAGTTCTTCCCAAGAACCTAGGATGTCATAATATATTGGTTTAATGTATGTACAGGATCCAAGAGATATGGCTTTTTGTATGACAGATGGGAATCTTGTAAATGTACAGATTTTCTAACTACTGTCCAAGATTTTTTGGTATGGCATCAAGTGTGCTAATGACTAAGGTAGTCCTTGACTCACAATTCATTTAGTGTCCATTCAAACTTATAATAGGTAACTTATGATCATTTTTACACTCACAATTATTATGGCATCCCTATGGTCACATGACAAAAAAAATCAGACATTTGGCAACTGACTCATATTTATGACAATGGCAGTGTCAATGGGGAAGCCAGATTCATTTAACAACTGTGTTATTAACTTAACTGTATTGATTCACTTAACAAATATGGCAAGGTTATAAAATGAGACAAAACTCAGCCAATGTCTCATTTAGCAACAGACATTTTGGCCCAATTGTGATCCTAAGTCAAGGACTACCTGTACTAGATTAGATGGCTGGGTTATGCCATAATCTTTCAATTTTTAGATTTTGTTACTTCATGATCTTCTCCAATTCTTTGTCTTCTATTCTGCTATCCCAATATTGCCAGATGAATTATCCACATTTTCTTCTTTTAAGCCATAGTGAAATCTGGTATGTCATGAGCCAAGGTTTTATCAGCTTGTATTCAGAAATCTTGGCGTTGAGACAATCTCCATTGGTCGCTCAGTATTGTTTCTTACAAACTGTTGCTTGATGGTGAAACCTGTGCATATTTTATAGTATGCCGCCCAAAGTCAGTCTTTCATGACAGGGGTGGCCATATAAAATTAATGAATAAATAAAATAAAAAATAGTGTGTAGAGAACAAAATCTGAAGCAAAATATTCTATTCAATTTTAATTCTTTGCTTTCGCAGGAACATACATACAGTATGAAACTTGCTAGCAAGTTATTCTTGCCATCTCAAAACTTAACAAGGCTTCGTGAAAGAGAAAATGCATTAGAAGTTACAGGATTCCATAGAATCTAAATATTGACAATGTGAAATGTATTTAACAATTCAGTCTTAAATTGTAAAGTCTCCATATTTATGTTTTGAACAGGTAAAGTAGCAGCAACAAAGTAGCAGAAATTCTCACAAAAAAAAGTTTATGGAAATTCAAGCTATTAAAAAATTACACATTTTGCTTAACTCTCAAATTTATTTACAGATTTAAAATATGTTTTATACACCTCAATTTACATATGAGGGCAACCAGAGTAAAAGCAGTTTTACAATAGGAGGAAAAGTTTAAAAAGCACTTTGAATAATTAAAATATATGATTTCCCAATGTGCTAAACATGCTGCATTTGCACATCTTTTACAGTTTATTGCTAAAAAAGTATATATTTGTAATGGAACAGCATAGCAGTTTGGAATTCCAATAATGAAATGAACTTGAGGTTCTTCCAAGTTTACTATATGGAAAAAGCAGAAAAGAGTTCCATTGAAATATTGGGATTGCTGAAAGAAAATGAATTATCTACAAATTTAAATGAAATTGGACTATCAACAAGGCACCAAAATGCCTTATAAACCCAAATTTGAAATCCAATTCTTTGCTAAACTTGTTTTATTTTCTCATTGATAGAACTTTATTTCCTTTTTTAAAATTATAGTGTAGGACTTAAAATTATGGAAAGCCATCTTTTAAATACTTAACAGTGTAATTATTATTAGCTATTCTCAATTGTTATAGTCAACGCAAGCCTAATCTCAATTTTTAGAACATGTCTTAATCATCATTTAATATCTGAATGGCATGTGCTTATAAAACAGATTAAAAATTTTGAAATCAAAAATTGTATTTTATTTTAAAAAGAGCCAGCCAAGTACACAATGAGACTCAAATTGCCATTAACTATTCTTCATTTTAAAAGTTTAACAGGAGCACTAAAATCACAGCTCCATAAAATTGAAAACATTTCCCCAATACTACCTCAGAGGAGACAATGCAATTTTTCCAGTTGAAACAATTACTGTACAGTGAACTCACTCGCTCACTCATTCTTAAGTTCTGTCTCCAAAATAGATGAACACTATTATTTTTGTGTCCATTAAAGTTTGAACTCCTTGTTTCACTTATGAAGGTCAACTAGAATATAGAGCACTATTACTATAGTGCCTGCCCTTAAGTTCATGTTGTATGATAAATTATGAATGAAAGCTTTATAAAACTTTGGTTTAAAAACAGATGGGTTATTTTCCTATAACTGTATGGTATGCAATTTCAAACGCCCCAACTCGCAGAGTAACATTAGTAGCTATCAGCTCCTTTTCTATCCATTCAAACAAGGTAGCGATGAAAGTATATCAATTCACTCTTTTGTTTCAGTATTCAGGATTTCTAAACCAGACAAACCACTGACATATTACTTTTATAACCTTGCTTCTAGGAAAAGACAAAATTAAATATAGGTAGTTCTTGCTTACTGACTGCCTTGTTTAACAACTTGAAGTTACAGTAGCTGGAAAAAAAATAGCTTTGCAAGCAATCCTCGCATTTATAACTGTTGCAGTATCCCATGATCATGTGACCACCATTTGCAAGCTTTTTACAACGGGCTTCTAACCAGCAGAATTAATGGAGAACATGGAAGTGAAATTGCAATGCACAATCACATAATGTCTCGCTTAATAAAAGCAGTTAATGTTAGGCCAAAGAATCAGGATCATTCATAAAGTTTTAGCATAGAAGATTTAGTCAAACCTATACACAAGAATCTGATCAACTAATGATCAGCACTAAATTAGTGCGAGATAAGGATTAACAGAATTCAAGAGGGGCTGGACTTGGAGCTCTTGTGGTAATGCAAGGACTTTAAACTGATGACATATTTAACTCCACCTCCCAGCTCTGCCTTTTTGTCTCCTACATTGGTTTGCAACCAAAAATGGAAGTGACATCATAAATCTGGCATAGTCATGTGATTTTTCACTAAGAGACTGTGTCACTTAGCAAAAGAGTTGATGGCCTCAACTGTAATCAGTAAGCGAGGACTACTTGTAAGGGGAACAAAAGCTCACAAGACAAGTTGTTTATCTTTAAGAAATATGATTATTAGCACACATACATCCAGCAGAAAAGAAAGTTACACCAATATAAAGTGGCTATTACTTTGACTGATAGACAGCTTGACAAGGAAGTTATCTCACTTCAAGTTTTTTGCCTTCTAAAACAATCTGAATTTCTTTGGCATCCAAGGTCTCGTAGGTTAATAACGCTTCTGCTAAATTCTTGTGTTCTTTTGCATGGGCCTTCAAGATACTCTTTGCCCGTTCATATGAGTCCTAGCACAAAAAGATAAGTTAAGAAAGATAGCAAAAACAAACTGGAAATGAAGAAAAAGAGCTAAGATTAAACACTAACATGATTTATAATTAATCTAAAAACATTTGTAGCTTATTCAAATACACTTCATACAAATACATCAGGTCCTTTTGAAGTGTATTTCAACAAAACCAAGAAATACAAGAAATAGAATAAAAAGTATAAACATCCATAAAAATAATTTTAAAAACTAGCAGAGAAACAAGCAAGCTCAATTATTTTGTTGTTTTTGAACTTACATAAACAGAATCTCAACTTTACTGATATAATTTATAAATTAATTTATAGGCAATAAATTAAACAAGAAGTAGCCACATAACATACTGTTTTAGATCCTTAGCTCTAATTATTTTTTATAGTAAGTCATCTTAATACATTCCAGAAAATTAAGACTCTGGAAAGTATTCATTTTTTTTGAATCAGAGAATTAAAAATTTTACCTTTAAAAGAGCTCTTATTTCTTGTTCAATTGCAGATTGGGTTTCCGGGCTGAAATTTGTTGCCTCTCTATAGGTCATGACACCAAGCTTATGGAAAAAGGAAGAGATTGGAGAGAGAAAAGGAAATGCTTATTTATTTAGCATTCTCAAAAAAAGTCAAATGCAGCATAATTGTTAGATAATTTGATCACCGAGCATCTTGTAAGAAGTATAATTTTATCACCATGAGTTCTGAAGAATCTGATTGCTGGGTCTTGTTCAAATTTGAGAGCAACTCATCATTTCAAAACTGACTTATTAATATGAACAAAAAAACCCCACCAATACTGCAGAGCGTATCTGTGAGATTTTTCTCTTTTGTGTTACAAGAATTGCACAGTGGATGTATTTGATTAACAACAGATCCCATCTGCCCCCATCCTGTTCCTCCCTATCTTTTAATTAGACTGTAGTGTTTGGATTTTGTAATTTATATTTTTAGTTTATATATTTTTTATCTTTTATGATTGTAAGCTGCTCAGAGTTATCTTGAAGTAAGATAAGCAGTAATTGAATCAGGTAACATACCCCACTCTAACTTTCTATCTTCAGTTACAATTAGTAAGAAAAGCTGCCTATGGCTTGGTATTACCCAGGCTGATAATCTAGGCTACACATTCTCTGTCCTATTAAAGACCATTAAGCTTTATGTGATACCCAGGTTGATAAATTTAGCAAACAGCTCTATAAGGCTAGCTCTTTAACAACTCTATCTTAGAAAAGAGCCTCAGATGATTTAATATATTACTTGTATACGTTGTTGGATCTATATTTTTTTCAGTCAAACAAAGCAATTGGGGGAGAAGGGCCTTAGTAAGAGAAATGACCAAGAACCTGCTAGTCACTCTGACTGAGCTCCAGAGATCCTGGGTGGAGATGGGACAGAGTTTCAGAAGGACAACCATCACTATAGCCCTTCACCAATCTGGGCTTTATGGCAGAGTGGCTAGACAGAAGCCTCTCGTCAGTGCAAAACACATGAAAGCCTGCTTGGAGTTTGCAGCAAAGCACTCAAAGGTCTCTCAAACTGTGAAGAACAAGATTCTCTGGTCTGATGAAACCAAGATTGGACTGTTTGGCCTCAGTTCTAAACATTATGTCTGAAAGAAACCAGGCACCGCTCATCACCTGCCCGATATCCCACAGTGAAGCATAGTGGTGGCATCATGCTGTGGGGTGTTTTTCAGCAGCAGAAACTGGCAGACCGGTCAGGGTTGAGGGAAAGCTGAATGGAACAAAGTACAAGGATATCCTCAATGAAAACCTGTTCCACAGCATTCAGGACCTCAGACTTTCCAACATGACAACAATCCTAAGCACACAGCCAAGACGACAAAGGAGTGGTTTAGGGACAACCCTGTGAATGTCCTAGAGTGATCCAGTCAGAGCTCTGACTTGAGACCTATTGAACATCTCTGGAGGGACCTGAAAATGACTGTCCACCGATGGTCGCCATCCAACCTGACCTAGCTTGAGAGGATTTGCAAGGAAGAATGCAGAAAATTCCCCAATCCAGATATGCAAAGCTTGTTGCATCATACCTAGAAAGACTCAAGGCTGTAATTGCTGCCAAAGGTGCTTCAACACCTTTGGCAAAGTACTGAGTGAAGGGTCTGAATACTTATGCCAACGTAAAAAAATTTCTTTTTAATAAATTTATAGACATTTCTAAAATTCTGTTTTTATTTTGTCATTATAGAGTACTGAGTGTAGGTTAATGAGAAAAAAAATAAATTTCAACAACTGTAGAATCAGGCTACAGCATAATAAAACTGACAAAAATGATGGGGGTCTTAATACTTTCTGAATGTACTGTATATCCGCACATCTACAACATAAAAATATTTCATTGCAAATTTATTATAAAGAAGAGTAAATGAAATTGTACCCTGTCACTCATTCCAAATCTGGTCACCATGAGTTGTGCTATCCTGGTAGCATTCTCAAAGTCATTAGAAGAACCTAGGTAATTATAAAAAGTATAAAGTTAATGAATTATAAAAGTTATTGTTTCGACTAGGAATGCACAAAGTATTTGAGTAGTCTGTACTTGAACTAAAATCTCCGTTATAAGTGCCTGAGTCCATGAGTGGAATTAAATATGGGTCATACAACTAAATGCAGTTGTCCCAGGGAGAATTGTTCGGAAAGAATGCAGGAAAAGACAAGGATGCAGGAGTGGGGCCATGAAGAAGGGAGGTGAAATACTGGGAAGATTAGAGAATGAGTAAATATACTATTGTGCTGGGCTAGGACACTGACAGTGATTACTGAAGGAGGCAAGAAGGAAGACAGCTGTTGGGATCGACCAAACTGAGACACTGGTAACAGCTGAGAGGAGGAAGGGAAGGCATTAGGAAAATCACTGGGACAGTGATATATACCACACCAGAAGTTGCTGAGAGAAAAGCAGGAGTGATGCATACCAGCCTTGCCCTAGTCACTCTGTCTGTTGCCTCTAAAACTAAAGTGATCTGGGTTCTTGTTTGATAAAACTGTAACTGACCCGAAAAAACTCTTTGACTTACCACCACAGTTAAGATCCAATTTTCCATTGCTAAGTGAAACACTTATTAAGTGAGGTTTCCTCCATTTTATAACCTTTCTTGCCACGATTGTTAAGTGAATAAATAAATGTAGCTGTTAAGTTAGTAACATGGATGTTAAGTGAATCTGGTCCCCCATTGACTTTGCTTGTCAGAAGGTTGCAAAAGGTGATCACATGATCCCAGGACACTGCAACAGTCATAAATATGAGCCAGCTGCCAAGCAGACAAATTTTGATACATTACAATAGGGATGATATAACGGTCTTAAGTGTGAAAAATGGTCATAAGTCATTTTTTTCTGTGCTGTTGTAACTTTGAACGGTCACTAAACAAACGGTTGTAAGTTGAAGACTATAAGAGAAAGAATTGTACGATCCAAGTTTGAAACAAAATACATTTCCCCATTTTGTGCACATCTTTAATTTTGACTAACCTGTTGTGATGTGATCACTGCCAAATATGAGTTCTTCTGCTACTCTTCCCCCCATACTGACATCCATCTGGGCAAGCAGCTGAGATCTAGTTTCATTCCATCTGTCACTTTCTGGCAACATGGAAACCTTTAATACAAAATTATGCATTAAGTTGGGCAAAACCAATAAATCAGATTTAATTGCTGCTAGATGATTTTTTTCTGCTTATTAAAGTGATAAAGCTTAAGGATTCTTAAGTGCACTGACATTTTTGGGCCCTCTGTGGGCTTTTCTTGTTTGTAAAATCTGCTGTTTTCTCACAGCATATTTTGCAAATAAGAAATCCATGAAGGGCTCCAAAAACATCACAAAGACATTTACACTGTCATGGTATATCAAGCTTTGTCACACAAAATCAAATGATATGAGCAACTGCTAATATTCTCACTTATTGTCTTACATCACCATTCCCTAAGAATCAAATCCAGCACGTTTGATAGTGGGACTGGCAGATAGTATGTTTACACAGATTCATACTACTGAAAAGGAATTAGAAAATACTGTAACTTTAAAGAAATGTACAAAACATTTCAGTTTTCAAAATAATTGATGTAGTTAAATAGATAAACCCAATAAGAAATAATTCTTTATAATACAACTCTTTACTGTTATTAATAACTTTCAGCAAGTTGACTTTGTTAATACTATCATCATTGCAACCTTGCAATCTAATAGTCCTACAGTGTTATACAAAATTGTGCTATGGTAATTCACGTGCAACAATCTTGAAACAATCAGAACTAATAAAATGCTCTCCCTGAATGTTACCAATAAAAATCACTATGATCATAACACATTTAGCTTTAAATCATAACTGCTTTAGATAATGTGATTTAGTGCCCAAGCAACCCAGTTCTTTTAAGAAATATCATATGGAAAAAAATATCTTTGTAGTCTTTGGCATCATTGTAGTATGAAGAAATTGCTTAAGAACAGATAGTTGTAAAATTGTTAAATAAAAGGCTACACAACCAGATCAGATTCAAAGGAGGAAAAATGTTACATACTTCATGAATCCTTTGAAATCTAAAGCCCTGCACAGCCCTATTAAAATCAATAAGGGAGGCAGTGTTTTTTATTATTCAAAAATCTTACATGTCCAAGTGTTGGTCCTCGTGGCATAATTGTGGCTTTATTGATTGGCATTGCATCTTTGGTATAATATGCAATAATGGCATGCCCAGATTCATGATATGCTGTGATTGTTTTATTTTTATCGCCAATTTCTACACTTCTACGCTCAGGACCTGAAATTAAAATAAACCAAGACAACTTTAACAAACTACCAATTACAGTATGTAGATAAAAACTGAACAGTATCCCCCTTTCAGGATTTTAGTGACTCACTTGTGTTGTCTTCATTCCCTTTCCTCTTGCCACCCGCACCGTCCCTTTGCCAGCCAGAATTCCACCAACAATGAATATCCTTAGCCTGCTTTTTTTCACTCCCCTCCATCGTTTCATTTTTCCTAAGGTAGTCTACATTTCTATAAATCCCAGATCTATACATCATGTGTAAAAGCTTCCATTTTGTATATGATTGATACTGATGATCAGAATACAAAGACTGTTCCCTCTGGATTTGCTGGACATTTATTACATTTGAGAGGCTTCATAATTGCATTTCAGGCTGGGTTCATTTATGGACTGCAGGTATAGTATGGAGCAAAGGTGGCAATGGATAGAGAAAAACATGGCAGTCTTTTTATTGTAGACGGTATTCACAGAAGGTATTTACAACAAGGATAATAACAAACAGTGCAGATGTATGCGAGTATCATTACTTCCCATGTTTCCCTATCAGGGACTTTCCCCCTCAATTTCTCCTACTTCTTCTCCCTCTCCCTTTCTCCCTTCCTCTTCCCTTTCTTGGTTTGATGAGAGAGAAAGAAAGAAAAAAGAAGTGTGAAGTGCGCTCAGCGCTGCTTGACTTTTGTCCCTCTCAGCCAAAACATTGCCCATTTCTAGGAGGAGAACCTTTTTCAGGTTTCTGCTAAACCACAGCTGATTCTAAATCAACCCTGGCTAGCAGCTTACCAAGCCTCATGACAGGCCAGCTGCCTTTCAAGGCCAATACGAACTCGTCTTCTTCACATCAGCAAAATAGCACTCATGGCAGGCCACAAAATCTATATGTCCCACAGGCACAGCATAGAAATGTCTGAAACACAGGGCCTAAACCAAGCCCCTTATATTCCCAGCACCTCACTCCCTAAATAGTGTTATTTGTAACATCTATTTAATTAAACTTATTTCTGAAGGTTATTATATAATTATATTGTAATAGCTGTGTGATTTCCCTGAAAATAACCCAAATAAAGCTTTCTTTTAACTTAATGGAATTCAACATACGTGAGAATCTCACGTCTGTGTAAAAATATATCTCGTACAGGGATTCTGTAAATTTTGATATAACATGAACATCCGCAATGAACCAAATTTGGGTGGCAATTTACATCATTTCCATAAGATCTTTGATGTGATGTTGTCACACATGACCTAAATTAACATAATTATCTTTTTTCTTGATTTAGTCTGTTAAAATGAGGATTTATTATACTGTTTTATATTTTATTATATTAAAAATAAAAGTTACTGTTATGACTATATATATAAAAATAAGTGATTTTAAAATATAATACCTACCCATGACAATTTTGTCCTTTGCAAATTCTAGTTCCTTCATAGTAACCATATCCTTTTCATCAATTGCTGCTTTTAATGCAGCTTGATTCACAAGGTTTTCCAATTCAGCTCCAGAAAATCCTACTGTGCCTCTTGCAATGATTTCTGGATTAATGGCTGTGCAAACAGACACATTGTATTTGTCAATCCAAACTGATGTTAATATTCAGGCAAGTCAGCAGACACAATAAACTTAAAGATGCAGAGTTTTGCATTAAATAGACTTTTTATGATAATCCAGCTCTAAGAATTTACCATTTTTATAATCATGTTTGAATAAGAACTGTGACATGAGAAACAAATAGAATTGTTGAAATGATTGAATCAATTTCCTTACCTTTTCCTAAAAATATAAGACAGTTCTTAGGTGCAGCAAGCAGTGTATCAGTTTTTAATTCAGTTTTCACTTGATAAACTTTAGTTGTAAGTATAATTATAAATGCTTAAATAGCACACCTGTAGCCTATAAATGAGCATGTTCTATTAAGCATATTATTCATATTAATGGGAAGAACTTCAACCTCAATCAGCATATACATGCATTTCTAATGCAGCCAGCCTGATAGCAATTCTCTATGTTTTTATTTCAAAATGCAGCACTTACACTTATCATATTTTATTTTATTAAGATACCATTTCAAAATTTCTGTTCGTCCCTTGACATCTGGCCTGGGGACTGTAACTTGCATGTCAAAGCGGCCAGGGCGTAACAAAGCACTAAACAGGGAAGGAAAAAGATATTGTGAATGATAATCTTGGTTAATTTTTTATATTATATTTATATTAAAATATTTTAAAAGGCAATTTAATAAGAAAAGTTGTTAATACATTTCTGATTTCCGCTAAAGTCAGTTTGCACAATTAAATGCTTTCCACAGAAAATCTCTCAATAATTGTGAGCACAAGAAACTCTTAGAAAACTACTTAAGAACCAACACTGCACAGCTACATTTCAAATGTACTAACTGCATTCAGAATGGTTGTTCCAGCAAAATATAGCTATTCTCTTAATTACTTGATTATGAAGACAAGGAATATTGGCAGGATTATTAATTATGCATCCTTATTACTGTCCTAAACTACCAAAGTCATATTCATATAAAATCAAATCATGCAGAATTGTATTTTACACTCATATGCACATTCACACAGACTTACTTATCTAGTGCTTCAGGGAAGTTTGTTGCACCAATGATAATTATTCCTTCATTAGATTTAAAGCTTCAAAAAGACAAAAAATGTAATTAAAATACTTACAGTGATTTTTCCCTAGCTATGTAGAACTAGCAAGTCATATTCAGTTCAGTGGATTTCCAAAGAATGCTTCTTTTATTTTATAGGAGTGGAGGATTTTTTTTTCCAGTTGAAGCGAACACTTCCTTGAGCATGTGACTTTGCACATCAGACAATAAATGATTTTAGTCATATTCAGTGCATGCAACAGCAGCAATACTAGCAGGATTTTAACAAAAACATAGTTTAACTTTTAAAATGAAAGAAATAAGGGGAAAAACTTGAAAATTAGTTTTTGAATAGAAATGTACATGCTTTGGAAATGGTTATAGAAATATATTTTTCAGAACTTGTATGAATATAGGCATTACTTAATAAGCAAATTTCTCAAGTATCAGAAAACTGCTTTTCTTATACAAGGTTCAAAATACTTAAGCTGAATCATTTTTGAAGAATGCACTACACTACTTTTCACCTACATGATTTTAATACTATTCCCTCACTTGAGTATCTGCATTGTCTTTAACTCTGAATAGGATTTTGCATTCACCCCAAATCGCCAATATCTAGATATTTAAGCACAGAAGAGTTTATGGATCCTATGGCAAAAATAAAAAACTTTTCTTCCTAAGAAAAATAAAAGATTTCTCAATATTTATGGGCCATGTTTCTAACTTGGTTCAACACCCATTGCTTTTATTAGAATAAAACTAAAAATGTAGTTAGAAGAAAAATTAACACCTACCCATCCATTTCAGCAAGGAGCTGGTTTATAGTCTGCTTTGAGTAGGGATGCATTGGAGATTCTACTCGTTTGCCACCAACTGAATCCAACTCATCAATGAATATAACACTAGGTGAATTTGCTTTTGCTTCCTCTAAGAAAGTAACATGTCAAATTCTTTATAATCTTTATAAAGTGCAAAAGTCATGAGATTTTTCTGACTATCATAATGTATTTTCTTTATTCACAAAAGCTAATCTCTGAATAAACTCCACAAATGGAGTTATAATTTTTTCACTTACATTTTCGTTTACAATGGAGACATCGCAAATAGTTTGAAAGATAATACATTTGAATTTTTGTGATGTTCATTAATTTCTAATTTAGTTAACCAAAAAAAAATGTGCTATCCATTTGCTAATAAGGCACTGATGCTATTTTCACTAAATGGGATTCAAGGGAAAACCCGAAACTTACTAAATAGATTTCTGATACGGCTGGCTCCCACTCCAACAAACATCTCATCAAATTCAGACCCAGAAGCATAATAGAAGGGAACATCGGCTTCTCCTGCCACAGCCCTGGCAAGCAGAGTTTTGCCAGTACCAGGTGGACCTACCAACAGAACACCTAGAAAGATAAAAGAATGAAAAGAATATCAGTATTATTGTTAATATTGGTCCCAAGTTCTGTAATTTTTTAATAAGCAATTTTATTACTTAGAAACAAGTACAGGTAGAGCTTGCTTACTGACCCTTCATTCAGCAACTGTTTGAAGTTACAACAGTGCTGGAAAAGTTACTTCATGGCCCATTTATGACCCTCAGCTATGTGATTGCTATTTCACTGAGTGCACGTTGTCCTGTGCCTGACCGGTGTTTTTTCCTTTCATTCCTCCTTGCAGAGATCGAAAAGAAAGAGGTTTCAAGAGAGTAAACTGTTTGTTCTCCTACACATCAAAAGCAGTGTGATCATGCGGTAGCCTGATTGCAAACTGCTTACAGTGCTCTCTTGAAATCTCTTTCTCTCCAGTCTCTGCTGGGGGGGGGAACAAAAGATTTCTGTAGGCAATCTCATCTTTGCCTAACCCTTTCACACACACCCCGAAGATTTAAAACCAACTTAATAATTCAGAGTGAGAATAAATTATTTGAATGTAATCAAAGATTATGTTAAATTGTATCTGGTTTACAAAAATCATACAAGAGTAGACTAGACTGTAATAGTAAGAAGAGGTTCATACTTACAATAAGAAAAGGTTCACACTTACCTTTAGGGAGTTTACCTCCTAGTATGGTAAATTTCTGGGGATTTTTCAGAAATTCTACAATTTCCTGCAACTCTTGCTTAGCTTCATCTACCTGAATGCAATTAAGAAAATATTATTTAAGACTATTATAATTTCATACTAATATGCTTCTGACATGTTAATTATATAGTTGTCTTACATAAAGTTACTTTTAAAGATATTACTTTTAATGAAACTGTTAAATGGGATTTGACTTCATTATACCATTTCACACATTAAGTACAACCTTTCTTTATTATCCAAGGCAATGTGTTTCTTGGCAAAATAAGAACAGAATAGATTATTTTAAGAAACACAAATTCCCAGTGGATACTATCAGCACAGTACTGATCTGTGGTCCATGAGAGCAAATTTGGTAGAAATATTTACTAACATTAAAAATATTGCGAAAAACAGTTACTCATGTGCACCTAGTTAAAAAGGGAAATGGAATTAATTGCTATATAACTTTTTGGAACACAGTGCTGAAACAAACACAAATCAAACCCCGTGAGTTTATATTAAGTAATGCTTAAATAATTTAAAAAGTGAAAAATAGCAACTTGCTCTCTAGCTCTAATTAAACAGTGGATTCCATGACAAAAGAAAGTAATTAGAATACATCTGGGCAACATTATGGTATGCCAATTTGAAGCAATTCTTAGACAAAGATATTCTGCTAGATGCTTAGCAGCACAGGAGAGAGAATATACAGACAAGTATTATAATAAAAAAATTCTGAGGTCACAACTCTGACAGCTCAACTATCAAAACATTCATTTTAAGTACAGCAAAATTGGGCCATTTTGCTATTTCAGATCTGTTACTTATACCCTTTTTAAATAAAAGTATCAGGTTTTATTCATCCACAATATAATTCATTTACTTCATTTTTCTTGTCCCAGTGACATTTTTATGCAAATTGACTCCTGCCCTTTTAGATTTATCGAGTATTTGTTTTATTTGATTGCTTCAATTCTATCGCACAATTGGAAGACATCCAATGTTTGAACCTACCCCTTTCACATGGTCAAAGGTGATATTTTTCATCTGAATAGGATCCACTGCTGCATCAAGCCCAGAACTTGCTCGAAAACGTACTGCAAAAGAATTTATCTAATCAAATATTTTTTTTCATTCACTTAATTTTTGTACAATATATTGGTTATTGCTGTTATTTGTTCTTGCACTGATGTTTTAAAGCTACTTAGATACCCAGAGATAGGCGGCCATTTAAATTACAATCTAAATAAATATGATGAAAATAAGAAATTTTCATCTGTAACAATGTCCTTTTATGATTTGGGCAGCTATATAAATTTAATAAATAATAATAAAATACCATAATAATGCAGAACTACTGATATTCACAATTATACTTTCCCTTCACTCTTACAAAGGACATCCAAAAGCAATTATCAATACATTCAGCTTTAATAATGCTTCAGTCTCAGTATTTACACAAACCATTAGCAGCTGTTTACTCAATTAGATGTTTTTCCACTTGTATCAAATGTTGGACTCATATCATCCAGGCATTTCATTTCTACAATAAGAACATCTTTAAATTTTCTATAATTAAAATACTGATCAAAGCCTTCCCAAAGATTCAAGAAGACACAAAATATGTCATTAAAATTATGATTCTGATATTGTTCAATATATAAGTACTGAAATGGTTGATACCGCAATAAATGGGTATTGAAAAACAAAAGAGGTATTACTATTAAGCCTGCTAGGATTATTTATCTGATCTGAAGAACATGCAAGTTGTGCTCTATGTAAGTTATTTAAAAATAACTTCTTTCTCTTAGTCTTCATTATATTTCGGGGAACTCTTTCCTCTACTTAAATATACTCTTTAACAATCAGACACAGAATAACTTGAGTTTTAAATTTAACTTTAACATAGCATAATAAAATAGTAAATAATAATAAATTAAAAATGAATGAAAAGTTAACAAACCAGCATCAGAAAAAGAGCCTTTAGGTAAGAACTGGCTTTTTAATACAGTATAAATACCAAACAACACTGCTAGAAAGACAAATAATCGGGTTCGTCTTAAGGAATCTGAAAGGGAAAAAAGAATATTTGTTTAGTTAATTATGATGCACATATTAACTAAATTAATCTGTCCAGTTGACAAAAACTGAAATAAGAACAACATAAAATATATAAACAACACCTAAATTAAAATAAAAAGTCTATACTCCTTATAGATTTTCTGACAACACTAAAACCAAACATACGTATTAGATTTTTGGCATCTGAGTGAAAAGCCAGATCTTCAAGGCTTCCAGAACATTCCCAGAATCAGGACCAGAGTCTTCCAAGCAGCTGGCATTGTGACAGAGAAGGCACGCCTCCTGGGTCCTTCAAAGTGACATAGTTTCACAGCTTCCAATGCTTTTCAAAGGAAGCCTCCCTCCCATACATTACATTGCAATAATTCAACTGGATAATATGCCATCAGTGACTATAGGAAGTGTCTCTCAGTCTAGGAATAGGATAACTGGTACACAAGATGGTACAGTGCAAAGTGCCAGCTGCCATCTGCTCTTCAAGCAGGAACCATGAGTCTAGACTAACCCTCAAATTGCACAACTCAATCTGGGGAATGGTATCCTCTCTAGGTTAACAATGCTTTTTCCCCCAACCAGACTCTCACAAGCTTCCAGGCATCGGGAAAGAAACAATAACTTAGATGACCTGAAACAAAGATGTATAGCTGAGTATCATCAATACCACTATTGCTACTTGGTCTTGTATCGAGAGATGGCCTCATCAGCAACTTCATACAAAATGTCTATGGAGAATGGGGAGTGAAACTCTGCAAAATGCACAAAGCAGAGGCTTACAGTTACGTTTCTCCCCATCTAGTAACACCAGCTGGAACTGGCCTCAAAGGAAGAAGAAAACTATTACAAACAAACCAACTGATCCTCTTACGTTTGATGAACACACTGAGGGGAAATGTACTCACCTATTACTAGACAAAACAGGCATAAAGGAATTCATTTTACTGCATATTTAAAATATGTTTTCCCAATATTAAAAAGGAAAGGAAATTTACAAATGATTACAAAATCTGTTTTAAAAAAAACACCCAGATTAACTGACCAATTGTGCGCTGGGCAAGGGCCTGTGATTTCAAAAAACCCTCTGCAAACCCAGTTTTAAAAGCATCTTGATGAGCTTCAGGTATGTTTTTTCTTTTCATCAGTTTGTCTAAGCTTTCAATCTCAGATACTTTCTCTCTCAGTAAAAGGCCCTAAGAACAAAACAGGAAAAACATTATTATTTTTTTTTTAAATTACCAAATCTCACGTTAAAACAAATTTCTCCAGGAGTATTTATATTTCTGTCATATGCAATTTCATGGCATTAGTCAAACGTATGTTTTTTAAAAAAATTTACACAGCGTCTAGGACAGTGTTTCTCAACCTTGACAATTTTAAGGCATGTGGACTTCAACTCCCAGAATTCCACAGCCAGCATTGCTGGCTGTGGAATTCTGGGAGTTGAAGTCCACATGCCTTAAAATTGTCAAGGTTGAGAAACACTGGTCTAGGACAACTCGCCCTGACCAACTCAACATAGGACAACTGGGGATAGTTCAAGAGAGGGACAAGTGAATTGCAACGGGCAATATCTTGCTTTAGGCTTGAATCTTCTCAAGTTGGAAGTTCTTGAGGCTGGGGAAAGCTGCAATCCTCTTGAGTTATATATCATGTTGAATTGTCCCACAGTTGTTAGACACGGTGAGTCTACCGTGGCGAGATGGCCATGGAAAGTCACCTGTGGTGAGACAGTCAGGAAGAATTGTCCCATTCCACTTATGTAGGTAAATTTTAAAAAAGAAAAAAAAAAAAAGGATTATACACTGGATATTAACAAAGTGATGTTTTTTTTTCTAAAAGTGCAGTTCTAAATCCAAGAATTATTGAACTTTATTAATGTGTCTTCCCCAAATAAACAATTTTTAACTCTTTACATGAAGAGGTCTTAAAACTACCAATCAAGGAAACTTGCTTAGCATATAAAATTAATAAACTAATAATAAACATATAACTAACCAAAGAATGGACTGGTAATGCAGCTTTCTTGAACACTCTATCACCTATTCTACCCCACACCATATCTTTGGGAATCCTTCAAAATTTTAAATGATTTTAAACAGACAAATCTTCAAAAATCTCAATAAACTCTCCCAAGAGTTGAAGAGAACTACCAATATTTTATAAGATTTTAAAGTTGTGGCAATCTTGTAATAATTTGGTCTTAAAAATACTTTTAAAATTATATATTAAGATGCAAAGATTACTAACTTTTGAATTAAAGTCTATATTAATTATGAAGTATTATTTAGTTTTGCTTTCCATAACCTGATACCCTTGACTAAGCTATTATGGTAGTAGAAGCCTAATATAGCTAGCAAACATCAATTAGGTGAAGTCTAATCAAGTATTTCACAGGAATTATTGTGCTTATTCACTTATTTATACATGTTCTTTAATCCTTCACTGCCTGTACTAATTATTTAAAAATATAATTAATCTAACCCTATTTGCACACCTAACTTGATGCATAAAGTCCTCAACACTTGGTAATGTTTCTATTTCCACGGAACTTTATATCTGCTTGACATTTGACTACATTTGCTAACTTCAAATGTACTATGTGTATGGAGGATAATGGTAATAGTCACTGGAGAAAGTGTAGGATTCAGTTATCAACACAATGTGCACGTTTTTATAATTACCTTTACAAATGAGGGAGCTACCTCTTCTGCTTCTGCTGCATGTTCTGATGTGGACTGTAGCCGTCTTGCTCTTGATTTCAGAGTCTTAAATCCTCGAGACTGAATGAGAACTTAGTACAGAAAGAGAGATATTATTCTTTACAAACATGTGAGAGAGAAAAATGAGATGTATTCAATATCTTATCTGGTATATTGCTTAGATACTGATCCTGAATTGATATTGAACTATAAACAGCTACAGTATATAATCATTTCTCAATGTGTAATCCTATGTGCAAAGTTTCAAATTTTCAATACCAGAATAGCTACCCAAGCACCATTGTAGCAGTGTGAACTGCCATATTTGAGAACTTGATTTTTTTGTAGAAATATATATATCTAGGTTAAAGGAATTGTTTTCTGAGGGATCTCATGGTTGAATGCAAGGATATGAGCAAGGAGGCAAGGAAAATAAAATAAACAGAAACAACCTGCCAACATCATGTAAGCATGTTGGAGATAAGATGCATAAGAAAAAGAAAGTTTTAACTTTGTGTTGTGTGTGTGTGTGTGTGTGTGTGTGTGTGTGTGTGTGAATGTGTTTCAAGTCCTAAAGGAGATGCCTGTGAAATAAGTAACCAATTGAGATCAGAACTGAGAAAGAGAGAGCCTAGATCAGGGGTAGGCAACCTTGGCTCTTTTATGACTTGTGGACTTCAACTCCCATGCTGGCTCAGGAATTCTGGGAGTTGAAGTCCACAGGTCATAAAAGAGCCAAGGTTGCCTACCCCTGGCCTAGATGATACACAGCTGAGGAGTAGGAAGGCACCAGGAAACACCTACAGCAGACAGGGAGGAAGTTAAGAACTGGCAGAGAGGAAAAGAACTAAAACAATGATGTATAAGATAGCCCTTTGCAAATTAAGAACTGGTTTTTTTATGTCATGTTTGCCTCAGTTAGAAAGATACCATTTCTTTAATACTGCTTTTGCATTCACTTCTACAGGAAGTCCTCGACTTACAACCGTTCGTTTAATGACCGCTCAAAGTTGCAATGGCACTGAAAAAAAGTGAATTAGACCAGTTTTCACTTATGACTATTGCAACATCTTCCCAGTCACGGGATTAAACTTTGGTTGCTTGGCAACCAGCATGCATTTACAATGGTTGCAGTGTCCCGGGATTGTCATTTGCAATCTTCCTAGGGAGCTTCTGACAAGCGAAGTCAATGAGGGAAGCCAGTTAACAACTGCAATGATTTACTTAACAAAAAAGGTCATAAAATGGGTCAAAAAACGACTCACTTTAACAATCGTCTTGCTTAGCAGCAGAAATTTTGGGCTCAATTGTGGTTGTAAATCAAGAATTACCTGTACATATATTCAAACATCATCAACATGAAATTGTGAATAGCTGTAGAGAGAAATAAATAATACTTTAGTTAATCTTTTCTATCTGCTATGTCTTCATCAATTCCCACCCTTACAACCAGTGAGGAAGCCAAATAGCATTTGCAAGGCAGAAAAGGGCTGATAGATTGTGGTTCTAATTGAAGTAATCAAAATCTCACAAGAGAACTGCAAACTTCTATCTAGAGTGAAGTTATAAGGAATAAAAGATCCTCAGTGTTGTGCCCATAGTGTTCAATGACCGTTTATTCTGATTGCTTTGAGAAGTCTATAGAAATGTACACTACACAGAATAGATTACAACAGATTGGTAATAATTAAAACCTATTCTACTTAAACAAGTTATTTCAGAATAGCTCTCGGAAACATTTGCTTATTTTATATAGTTTATTACTGAGTAGGAATATAGTATAATAATAATATATTCTTGCACTTATTTTCATACTTTATAGAAATTACAATTCAAATTATATTCAATAACTCCCAGTAAATCCAGACTTGCCTACAAACAGAGGATATACATGCCAATTCCTGGCCTTAAATACAAACAGTTTACACAGTTTACATTGTAACATCAGAAATGGTTCAGTGATGCCTTAAATGAGTCTTATTGAATTATGTAGTAATTCTAAAGAAATTCTTCATAACTAATCAGATGTACTTTAAAATGTTAACAATACTTTCAAGGCTGAAGAGTTACCTTCTATATTATTGATAGAATGTTTGCGATTTTTCCAGAAGTTATTGAATTGCATATAACACCAGCATCATCTCATTGGAATACCTGGGACTTATAATTCAGTAATCTCTACGGGGTTGTAATTCCCTGCTTGATTAATAATGTTCTATATGCAGGCAGTCCTCAACTTACAACCACAATTGAGCCAAAATTTTCTGTTGCTAAGGAAGACATTTGCTAAGTCAATGTTGCTCCATTTTACGAACTTTCTTGCCACATTTGTTAAGTGAATCATGCAATTGTTCAGTTAGTGACACGGTTGGTAAGTGAATCTGGATTCCCCCATTGACTTTGCTTGTTAAAAGGTCGCAAAAGCTGATCACACTGCAACTGTCATGTCAGTTGCCAAGCATCTGAATTTTGATCAAATGACCACGGGGATGTAGCAACATTTGTAAGTGTGAAAAAAAATCATAAGTCACTTTTTTCAGTGCTGTTAAAACTTTGAACAATCACTAAACAAACTTGTAAGACAAGGACTGTATGTACTGTAGTATACTATGAACTAGCTCTCCTTCTACCATGTGAAATACAGGGGATTATTCTTCTTTGAAAAAGCTTTATACAGAGGAAGATATGTTCTACTCATAGAAACTCTGGATCCAAGCCATATTTCTTTTACTTTGGAAAAAGAAATATTTTTACTTCCTACCTGGCCAATGTTGAAGATTGGAACATATACTCCGGGGAGGATTAGGATGCTGTCTGTAGAGGTAAGAGGAACGTAAAACTCTAAATGTGTCTGCAAAACCTAGGAAAGAATAAAAAGTTATTTACCATTTATTTAGGTCTTACTGGAATAAGATCTTGTGCATTTAAAAATTTTAAATTATATACATACACAAAGTTTGATATGATACTGTTTTGATAAATTAGACAATGTGCTAATGCGGCTCCTTAAATAAACCAAGCAATTTTGCAATACTATACAAAATCAAAGTTCACTCTGAATATTTCATGCTTAGTTAAAATTGTGGTATGATAGCTGGAAGAGAACAAAGAATAAGAGATTTGTGTATGAGTAAGCAGATTATTACTTTCCTCTCACAACTCAGGAAAGTGAACAAGGCTAAACATGATACATGCTATGTATTCCTTGTTTAGAATTTGGATTAATAGATATAAGGACTAACTTCTACTATAAAAAGGACCAAAGATCAGAGAAAATATGAAGAAAATTAACCATATAGATCAGTGTTTCTCAACCTTGACAATTTTAAGGCATGTGGACTTCAACTCCCAGAATTCCACAGCCAGCATTGCTGGTTGTGGAATTCTGGGAGTTGAAGTCCACATGCCTTAAAATTGTCAAGGTTGAGAAACATGGATATAGATCAATGAATCTGACTTTTAAATAACTGTGCAAGTACAAAAAGCAAAAATTATTTAAATCAATTATTAATAGTAGGTGCAAATTTAGTTTTGAATATAGCTTCCCAAATGCTATTTACTTATGTTAGCAATTTGTAATATACAGTAGCAAAGGTCTATCCACCATTATGAACCCGTGTCATCAGATAAATGATAACTGTCTATATGCAATCCATATAGATCTGAACAGGAAAGTGCACTTAGCAAACTCTAAACATGAAAAATGAAGTGAATATAGATTTTAAGTATAACTGGGCTAGGCATCTCGAGAGTAACTTGTACATGCAAATTCCAACAATAATCTTGCAAATACAAGAATTATACTGAAATAATGGCAGTACGCATGATAAAGGTTTAACAATTTCCAGTTGTAAAAAAACATTACATCTTTAGTGAATAATTATGATTTTTATCTAAAGGTGAAGCTTCTATCATAACAAACCAGTCTTCACTTCTTTGAATTATACTCCATCTTTCATTCAGTAACTGAAAGTGGTGTACTATACTTCAGCCTCTCATTTTATATAAGACTCCTGAGAGGTAGATTGGGCTGAGGAAGAACGGCTAAGAGAGAACTATAACATATAAGTCTCCCCAATGTCAGTCAAAACTTTAGCCATATTAGACTCATTGCACATGGTAGGATGGAGTAAACAATTAAATGAGAAATTATTTATTTAGACTGTTAATATTTCAATCCTATCATTTCAATCCTATCTTTTCTCTAGGAGTTCAGCAAGATATATTTCATCCTAACAATCCTGTCCAGTAGATTGGGATAAGAAAAGAGAGTAAGGCCAAAGTAATCCAGTGAGTTTCAGTGCTGTACAGGACTCTTTGATCCTAGACAATATTGTAATTAGAAAGAACAACATAAGGTGAACTAGTAAGGATTGCTCTGAAGAAACATATTATATATTTACACACACACACACACACACAATCTCTCTCTCTCTCTCCCCCTCATGTGTGTGTTCATATGTATGTGTGTATATTAGTATAGCAGTTTTGAAGAAGATACACAAATACGGTCTACTTAATATCTGGAAAAGGCATATACTATTTTAAGATCCATGTTGAAGTCAGAATACTAATTCTATAAATAAACACAAGGGATATTTCAGACCCAAGAGAAAACAAAAGCAGGGAAAATAATATTAATATAGCACTAGAAATAAGATGGATTAAGGGGCTAAGAGCTGCCAAAATTTTGCCTGTAGGAAAGAGACTAGCCAAGCCAAGGTCAAACAGGGACTTAGTCTAGAATATCTATGTGAGCACAATAAGGTGAAGTTGAACCCCTCCTTGAATGCTGTGGAAACTTATCTAGTTGCAAATTATCCGTCTAAGAAAATTTCTGTGCATATACTTAAACAATAAAATAGCTAATTGAACTCTTCATGTGTGGCTCTGGTTATCTGGACCTGATACTGCTAGCTAGCTATTTATTTATTTATTTAAAATGATTATTTTCTGTATTAATTCTATATTTGCAAATTATAGTTAACTATGTTTGATACCATGACCATTATACCAGAATAATCAAGCTATATAAGGTAAACAAGTAGTGTTGAATAAGTTAATCCTAGATGAAAAATGGCAAAAGCCAGAAATAAAACTAGTAAGAATTCTGCATTTTGAACTGCATTACAATGAAACAGCAATAGAATTAAATCACCTTACAGAAGCATTACTTATGGGTGATACAATTTAGGAATACATTAAGTTACTTTTTGCCCAAATATGTTAAAATATCATCCCAAAGCATACCATATTTATTTTCAAAAAAAGACTGTGCCGATACATATGATGTTTGCCAATGTGAGGGTATTTTATTTTGTTCACCAAAACCAGGAATCAGCTTGTTCACTATTTCATCAAGTTGGCTAATTTTCAAATCACTCAGTCCTAGGTCTCGTAGACTAAGTAATGGCTGTAAAAAAATAATAAAGGATTCAAATTATAATTAAAAATTGGATTATTTCAAAAATAACATTTAACTTTTAAACAACCATGATTTTTATGTGCTTAAGTACCAGATTTATAAAAAGCTGTTTTTGCTTATTCTCTCTGAAACATGTTTCAGAGAGAATAAATATTAAATAAATACCATTATTTATTTATTTACAACAGCAGTAAATTATTAGAACATTTAAACATGGGATGTGTAAGTTAAATAACAGCTGCTCTTTAATAGTTATGCTATACATTATCTCCTTCAGAATATGCTATCAAATTAATCAACACTTAATCTCAAAGATATATTTAATTTCTTTAGGAGTTCATATTGAAATCCTATGGGCACATATTTACAGCTAGGCAGCCCTATCAATGTAATAGAATTTTTTCTCAGAAGTGCATAATTCCACCCAAGTCTCTATAATATTTTCATATTATAAAAAAATCAAGTACACTTACTGATTTTTTTTATTACTCCTTTAACAGGAGTGAACAGCAAGCAAATGTTATGAATTCTGGAGAAAAGGCATACATATATATGGGGAAAATAAAATGTATATAAAAACGTTTGTTTAAAGAAAAAGGTATTTTTTAGGATATATCTATATATATATGTGTTTATGTGCATATCTGTGTGTGTGTGTGTGTGTGTGTGTCTGTGTCTATACACACACACACACAGAGACATATATATCCTTTTTTTAAACAAATGCTTTTTATATACATTTTGTTAATTTCCCCCAAATTCTCTTATATTATGTAAGTATAAATTATATGAAAGATATTCATAAATAAATTACACCATTCAAGAATTCTTACTTCAGGGTTCAACACATCATGTTCAGGTGGTGCTTCTTTCTGTACAGACTGGGTGGACGTTGGGATGAAAGACTGTGTTAAACTTTTGGGTGAATGAAATGCATTTATGAGGTGGCTCAAAGAAACTGTGACCTGGTAAAAATACAAGGTATATTAAGTCACATATTATATAATTTGGTTTTTCTTAAATAACTGTAAAAACCCTAAGCTTCCAGGAATAATGTAGTCTATTTTTGCATTAACAAGGTAAACAGCTGTTGCTGTATATTTCAAAACACATTTTAAACACTGAATCAGTATCACAGAAATTTTTAGTAACAGAAAGATTGAAATCATAAAAAACTAGTTTAATTTTGAAAATATTTACAAACTTTTAGAAGCAATCAATTCATTACTGCAGGATATATTGTATAAAAAATTCCTCTCACTTAGCAAAATAATTGTTTTCTCTGAACTATTAATATTTTCATTTTGTGAAATACATTATTCTTGTAAATGCTCCCAATTAAATTAGAAAACTGAAATTGGGAACATGTATAACGCTAGTAGTTGCTATACAGAAAATAGTAATGTACTTATTTATCATGTTTGCAAAACTATCTGAAAACAAGCCAAGCATGTATTGTTAGCATCATCCAATATGACAACATAACTGATATAGATAACGCCTACTGACATCAAATATTTCCAAATTAATATCTTCCCCTGATTGTTTTTAGGTATGTGAAAATTTTATATTATGACAGATTTTTGAAACAATGTTACAATAACAAAAATGTACTGAAAATGTTTAAAATCTACGGATGAGCTTTGAAACTGACATTTAGGTCAAAATGATCAATCATGCAGATTATGTGTTGTCCACAGTTTGTATTTCACCTAGTAACTACCAATCTATTAATGCACAATGTTACTCCTTGAAGATAAATAGTTGAATAATGTAAACACAAATGAAGAATATTGTTTCTATTTGTTTAATACATAATATCTAGCCAGGGTTCAGACCTGTTTTGGGGATAGAAACAGATTAGTTGCACTTGATCTCAGGCAAGATTGGGATGGTCCCAGTGTATCCATCCTTGACTTCTCAGATCTTCAGTACCAGTTACCATGGTATCTTTTTGGACCAGCTATATGGTTTGGAGCTGAATAGTGAAGTCTTGTGCCGATTTGGCTCCTTTCTCCAAGGCTAGTCTCAATTGGTGTAGATAGGGAATGAGAAGTCCAGTCCATGGCTGTTCCTTTGTGGTGTGCCACAGGGTTCAGTTATCTCTCCACTCCTTTTTAATATCTATGAAGCCATTGAGTGAGATCATCTGCCTTCCATGAAGTATCATCAGTATGCTGATGATATTCAACTTTACCTCTCCATCCCTGGTGGCCCAAGTGTTGCTGTCACTACCCTCTTGCTGAGGCTGTGAGGCTTAGGTGGGGGACAAGAGACTTTGGTTGAACCCTGGTAAGATGGAGAGGCTTTTGGTATGTGGAGCTTCAGGATCGGGACTTTAACATCTTTACTTTGGGATGGAAGTGGCACCGCTCCAGATAGACCTAACATGCAACTTGGGGTTCTCCTGGAATAGCTACTGGCACGTGGCAGCTGTGGCCCAGATAGCTTTGTCTAACTATGTATTGTGCACCAATTGTGCCCTTTCCTGAATCAGAATTCCCTGCATTCAGTCACTCCAACCCTGGTCATCTCATGGTTGAACTATTTCAACATACTGTAGATGGGGCTACTCTTACACAGTATTTGGAAGCTCCAGCTGGTGCAGAAAGCAGTTGTGTGAAAACCTTTTGGGGCCCGTAGGGCGGGCCATGTTATACTGATGTTCTGCAAGCTGCACTGGTTGCCAATTTGCTTCCAGGTTCAATTCAAGGTGTTGGTTAAAATTTTAAAGGCCATTCTTGCACAGAACCGAGTTATCTCGCCCTGATGGGATTGCCAATTCCACCCATGCTGGCAGAAGAGGCATGCCATGGACTCTGTCAGTCAACGAATTCCAGTTGGCAGTTCCAGGAAAAGAGCCTTTTCTGCCATAGATCCTGTGCCTTACCACCAAAATGAGATTTGCACCCAACTCTTTGGCCTTCTGAAAAAGCCTGAAGACCTGCTCTGTCACCTGACCTGGGGCCTAATGGGGGCATGTCATTCTGGAGGTGGTTAATGGATAAAATGCCATCTCCTCTCTGCATGTATCTTGCTGCCTTCTTTCCCATCTTGCTCATTTTAAACCAATTTAGGTTTTATTACTTACTGTTTTAAAATTGTTACCTTGTTTTTTATTGTAAAATGACATGGGCAGTATATAAGTGTACTAAATAAATAAACAACAGAGGTTAAGGGACTTTCTGTATTTTTTTGTAATTTCCATTAAAAATCATCTCATTTTCTTATCAATTGAGATTAAAGGTAACATGCAACTTGTCCCAGATTTTGGCAGTTTATTTTTATTTGTATCCCACCTTTATTATTTTTACTAAATAATTCAAGGTGGCAAACATATCCAACACATCTTCCTCCTATTGTCCCTACAACAAACCTATGAGGCAGATTAAACTGAGAGTTACTTTTGGCCTTAACCACCAGGCCAAAGTGGCTCTGTTGTTTGTAATTAAAATAATAAAATACACTTTTTAAGATTGGAAGATCAATCTTTTGTTGTAATATAGGACCTGGATCCAAGGCCATAACTTTGAAAGATTGATTCAGATTATCTTAGTTTATATCTTTGTAACTTCAGAATGCTTTGTTTCTATACAAAGCAAACTTTGAGAATGATAAGTACAGTCGAGAAGATCATAGGAAACTCACTTCCTGGTATTCAGGATGCTGCTTATAAGCACTATGGGCTCAGAGCTCAAAGCATTGTTAGAGACTCCACACACCCACTTTACCATCTGTTTCCGTTGCTCCCCTCTGGGAGGAGGTTTCGAAGTATTTCTAGCAGGACTACCCGATTCTGTAATAGCTTTGTTCCCTATGCCATCCCTCTGGTAAACTCGCAAGATCCGTTTCTCTTGCCATGCACATGTATACATAACCCTAACTATACGTTGTTTCTCTGTGTCATATATGTGGGTATATGCATAATTCTGTATTTATTTTTGTCATATTTCTGTAGTGTATATTGGAGGTGGTGACCCTTTGAGAGCTGTATGTAACAAAATTTCATTTTAATGTATGCTGATTAGTGTACAAAATAACAATAAAGCTATTCTATTCTATTCTAATTAGATTGGTGTACTGGGCTACAAATTATGAGTTGTAACCCAACTCAACTGGATACAAGAATTAGAAAAGAATTAAAATGTTTAGTTACCATATTATTTTATATGTTTTCTATTGAATTATGCCCTTTCTATGAACCTAATCCTGGAATTTACCAAAACTGCCCCCAGATCTCATTTGAACCTAAAATAAGATTTTGATTCCTGTAAAGGCTTAATACAATACTTCTAACATTTGGATAATATGCTCAAAAACTCAAGTGTTTGCTTTGGACATTTGAGATTAGGACAAAAATGTTAAGCAAGAGCCTGTAACATCTATTTGTTCTTAATTCACAATCACCCCAGTAAATTTGCAATCAGTAGGCTCAGAACAAAAATATGATGTCATAGTTTAACGAACGGAAGTTATCTCCACAAAGCAATAAACAGCCAGGTAAAGAGTCTTTTCAAAAGAAATTAATTAAATAAAGGATAACTAAAGAAAGCGTCGCCCTTCAACAGTAGTATATCTTTAAATTTCAGGGAAGGGGCTACCGTCTGCCTGCTTTCATCGGCTTCGACTAACTTCCGTGAAAGCAAAATCCAGCACATTTTTAGAGGCTTTCCTTCCTCTCCCGCAGACTGTCTAAAACCTCTGCGTCCTGCCAAGGAAGCCTCACCTTCCCGTCCTCCCCCTTTCGGAGCCTCCCTCCCCAAATCATTCCTTCAGGACCCCGTTTCCCTTCCCGCCCCTCCATCCCTGGTTTTCTTAACTACGCAGAACAATAGCGGCGTCCAGCTGTTCTCGGGGAAGGAATTGCACCTGGGGCTGCACCGTGGTAGAAAAAGAAAGCATCCTTCTCGCCACTCGAGCGGCCTGACACGTCAAGACCGAGGGCGCCTCTTCTTCTGCGGTTCCTCCGGCCTCGTTCTTCGCGGGGAAGAGGACTCGGTGGTTTATCAACTCTTCCCGAAAATGGCCGCCTCTCACAGTTGGAACAGGCCGGGCTGAACCCCGCCCGGCAGCTGACGGTTGTCCCGACGAGTGCTTCCGGGTGACCTAATGACCCCGTCCGTCTCTTAGCAACCGAGGATCTGGGTGGTCCTGTGCTCGAATTTGTAGACGGTTGGCGGGAGGGGTGTTCTGAGCGAGTCCCGCCGCCTCTTGTAAAATGGTCGCGGTGGAGGGGAAACTAGTTTGGGATGACATTGAGCTCGTGTTCCGCGCGATGCGGCGAATTATAAGGAAGCGTTAGTGAAATGGGAGGCGCTCTCTGTGGAGGAGGCAAACGAGACAGAAGCGAGCTGTGACTAAGCCGCTTCTTCTCTTTCTTCCTGCCTTTCCCATATCCCTTCCCTCTCCGCCTGATAGTTGCTCTTCGCCATCGGCATTGTTAGTGCTGAATAAAGGAGTCTGGGGCATTTAGTTCTCTCTCTATCCCTGTGTAATAAAGGTAGTTTTATTCTCATAGATTTTAATTTGAAACCCGTTTGAAATGTGTTTCTGGAGGAAGCAGTGTAATGTGCTGTTTTTTATCTTCGCTCCGGTCTGTTCCTCTTGGGGTTGAACAGTATTCTGAATGGAATTGGAATGATCAAAGCCACCTTCGCGAGGTTGCTTAGTACTGGACTGGCTCTGGCCATTTTCAGATCCATTCTTAAACTTCACTAGCTGACTGTGCCGCCACAATATCCCACCTTCGCGGGATTCCCGTGGGTCTATGAAAGTCTGAATACCTGGATTAAATTATTGAACGTTGATAAAGATGAAAGCTGGAAATAAACTTCGGGAGTAATACGTAATTTCAGGAATAATAAAACAGCTTGAAAGATCACGCGTTTTTAATATGCTTGGGAGGGGGGGGCAAAGATAAAATGAAACCCAAAACAAACAGGCACATTTGCATTAGTATTTTCTGGACCTAGAGCCGAGAGCGAAACTGAGCATGCGCGAGTAAACAGGAAGTGTTGATGACGAATCCGCCCCCTCCCCCCGCATGAGTTGCTTGAGTGGCTAATAACGTTTTACGTCCTTTCGGTTGACGTGCAAGTGGCGGAAGGAGGGGTGGAACTTAGTTTTGAATTGTCGCGGGGCAAAGCCGCTGTTCGGCTGCGCGCCGGGAAGCCCCAAGAAAAGCCAGGATTGTGGCGTTAGCGATCGTGATGGCGGAAACTTCTGCATCCCAAGATGATGCGAGAAGGGAGGAGGAGAGGGGCGCCTCATGCGGGAAACGCATCACCATACCCCAGCCGCCCTCCATCGAGGATTTTACTATCGTTAAACCGATCAGCCGAGGCGCTTTCGGGAAAGTTTATCTGGGTCGCAAAGGCGGAAAACTCTATGCCGTTAAGGTGAGGCTCCCGTGTTTGGGGTAGCCCGGAGCCCCCGCTCTTCTAAGCAATTGTCGCGGAATACAGTTAAAAATGGTAGCCCGAAAGTTCGTTTTAATTTTCATTGCTCGCAGGCTTCAGTGACAATTTAGACCAGGGGTAGTCAATCTTGGCTCTTTTATGACTCGTGGATTTCAACTCCCAGAATTCCTGAGCCAGAACAGCTGGCTCAGGAATTCTGGGAGTTGAAGTCCGCGAGTCATAAAAGAGCCAAGGTTGACTACCCCTGACTTAGACAAATGGCAATGAAACTGAATTAAAAGTCTCAGAGCAACTGTCATGAGGGGACGATTTACGGTCGAAAAATGTGCGAAAAATATGGATCCTTCCTTTTTCTGTCATTGCTTCTTCCACTCCTAACCCAACTGCTGCCGATGTCTACTTAATTTGTGCAGAATTGAGAATCTTAAAGAAGAGACAAGTGGCAGTGGATAAAGACTCAAATGTAGCTTCTGTTTTGAAAATTATATCATCTCGTGCCCCTTTATAGATGCTCAATCCTTCCAATTTGCTTCTAAAACATTGACTCCCTTAAATATTTTGATCGTCTAGACCAGGGCTTTTCAACCGGTGGTACATGTACTACCGGTGGTACTTTGGCACTTGGCAGGTGGTATGCCATCGTCCTAGAGAAGTGGTAGTGGGGCGGAGAGGAATGAGCTGAAGTGGCGGCACTGCCACACAAGCCCAAGGGAGAGACAGCCGGAGCTGCAGGGCTGTCGGGGCTTGGCAGGTGGGGTGGGAGCTGAGGGGGGCAGGGCGCGATGCGATCGGCGACACGTTGAGGAAAACAAGTACTCCAAAAAAACAACTTTCATTAGTTTGCAGCCTGCCATTGTAGAAGGTCTCTGTTGAGACGTGGGGCTTCAAGGGGTGAGGAAACCCCCCCCGCCCATGCGCGCGTGCGCACACACACACAAACGTGCGCAGGTCTGAGAGAGGTGAGCTGAGAGCCACGCAGAGGCAACGATGGGGAGGGGTCAAATGTGAAGCCTCTGCCCACTGCTGTCTGCCTGTTGCCACCTCTGTCTGGAGCCTCTGGAAGTTTAAAAAAAAAAAGAGGAAGGAAGGAGTCAGGCAGGGAGAGAGGAAGGAGAGGCAATTTGGTTGAAAATGCCCCAGTTCAAATGAGAAAGCAATTTTGTGACAGACAGAACTTTGTTGGCAATCCAAGTTAACCCTGGTATTCTTGAATTGTGAGCTCTTAGGAAAGTATCCCCTTCTTGTGTGTTGCTAACAACCATTTCCACTGGGGAAAACAGGACAGAGCAGAGTGGAGGAAAATATTTCCCTTTGCTATATTTCCAGTCTGAATTAGACCAAGGCAGAGTCCCTACAAGAGAGCCCTTTTAAGGATTATGTATTAATAGAAAAGCAACTAAGCTACCTCTGTTCCTAAACGCTAAAGCTGTTGCACATAAAAAATGGAGGAGCTCTGATCAAACTATCACAGCCACCATTTTGACAGTTTTGCTGTACTATTGTCTGTGGATGCCCCCACTAAATGCAAGCACGGAATAAACTGAGACTGGTTTGTTCTCAATCTTTTAAGTGGCCACAAACTACTAGCAAAAGTGGCATTTGATCACAAGGCAAGGAGGCATTGAGAAATGTTTCTCCTTTTGCATTTGAGCATCCAAGAAGGGATAGGAAAGAAGAAAGGGAAAGAGGAAAGACAAAGAAAAAGAAGGAAAGAGGGGAAGAGAGCAAGGAAGGAAAGAGGGGAAGGAAGAAAAAGGAAAGGAGCATGAAGAGGGAAGGAAAAAGAAGAAAAGGAAGAGGGAGGGAAGGAAGGAAGATTATAATGAGAAGGAGGCAGGGTCTGAGGGAAGTCCTGCCATAGCACTTGGCCACAACCAGCCCTGCTACCCTTTTGCCATCCCCTTGTCCCCCCCCTCCTGACTCGCCTGGTGGTCTCCCATCCTATCGCTGAGGATGCTTTGGTTATAAAGCCGGTTTCCTCGCATGGAGAGGGATTGGGCCTCCTTCTGACCCACACATTTTGCCCTCCCCACACAACGTGAACAACCTGGCCACGGAGAGCAAGCAAAGCAGCAGCAGCCTGGAGGAGAAGGTAAGCACAGCCGGGGGGGCCTTGGGGAAGGCTGGCCTGAGCTGGATGCTTGCCCTCCACTGCCCAGGGCTCTGGGCAGTCTGCACCGCTGGGGGTCCTCCCCTTGTCCTGAGAGCAAAGGAACTGCCATGCCACCAAAGAAATTTAAACCAGTACTTTTTTCCTTTTTTTTTTACAGTTTATAACATTTTATTAGATTATGGAATAATACAAAAGCAAATAGTAGGACACAATGGGGAGGAAGAAGGGGAAAAAAGTGAGAGGGAAAAGGGGAAAAGAAAAGGCATTGACTTCCAACTTCCTCTATTGCAGTAGAATAAAGCCTTAACCTCGAACCTCAACTTTTTACTTTTTCATAATAGTATAAACTAGCCATTTCTATAACAACAAATGAATCTAACCAGTAAAACCCAAAATCCCGCCCCCTTTTTTTCAGTCATCAAGTTTTTGACACCTTGCTAAGCACTGGTGATACTCGAATATTGTCATGTCCTAAAAGTGGTACAGTCTGTGAAAAGGTTGAAAAGCCTTGGTCTAGACCAAATTAGCAAACTTCATTATTAGAAAAAGTACCCAGTGGCAGGTAAATGAACCATGATATAAAAGCCTAATCATTCTAAGTAATGGAGTAAAATCAACTTTCTAATTCAGTCTAATTCCTGCTTTTTAAGGGCCCGAGTGAGATATCACAGTTTTTGATTGAAAGTACACAAAAGGCTTAAGATACCAGCATAAAGGATTTATAGTACAATAATTAAAGTATGCATTGTGAGAATTTATTTGGCATTAAATGCATAGAACATTCCACAAAAATCCTTAATATGGAGTATTTATGAATTATAGGCATAAGGAAAAGTAACTTTATAATGCATTTTTCTGCAGTGAAGAAATATGATGCATATATCACCAAAGAGACAATTGTTTTTACAGGTGGTGAAAAAGGCTGATCTGATCAATAAAAATATGGCCCATCAGGTACAGGCAGAAAGAGATGCCTTGGCTCTCAGTAAAAGTCCTTTCATAGTACACTTATTCTATTCACTTCAATCTGCCAACAACGTCTACTTGGTGAGTAATCCACCCGCATTGTCTTAGAAAACCTTGTTTCTTTTAAGCTGTTGTTTCAACCTATTGTTTATTTTATAGTACTTTCCAGTGTCCTTATCACCTGCTGTTTGAACACCAACTTCAGTTCCAATCTTAAACCAGTATTTTTGAGCTGTAATTTTACTGAATATCTGTTTTTGCCTGTATCACATTCTAACTTAGCCTTTTGTAGTCTTTCCCATGTGTAGATCATTCCTGAAAACAAATGAACTTTACTGTGTTAATTATATGAACGTTATCATTTTTCCTTCCTCAGTTTGTATGAATTTTAATTCAGGTAATTCTAACTCAGATGTGTTGAAACCATAATACATAAGGAAAGGAACTGAATGGGGTAATCTGAAATAAATTGTATTCTAAAACCACAGTGAATGATAATCCAGAATAAATAGGGCTATTTCACCAGATCATTTCAGTGCTTCTGACATGGGAAAAAAACAAGCAGATAAGAACATC